CTCCCACATGTTAGACAAGCACTCTACCACTGAGCTACATTCCATTCCTTACTTTCTAAACTACTTTACCTGGACATTCTCTTCATTGTAATTCGACACATTGCTATAGACACATCTCTGTAAGCCACCAAGCTATGGAGAAGAAGGTTCTCTGGCAAATGCAGGAGAAGGACTTTAAGAGCAGCTGAGGGATTTGAAGAGCCACTAAGAAAATGTCATCAACTGGTAACTTGTAGGGAAATTTGGGACTTTTGGAGCTTACTGGTTGGAAATCCACCCCTTTAAACTTTCCTCTCTGAGACCAGATAGTCTGAGAGAATGAACTTGGTTTGTTTCCTTAGAATTTCTTAAACCTATCTAACCCTTAAACATTGTTCTGCTTTGATTATGTTCCTCCGCACTGCATGTGTTGGAAACTTATCCCCAATGCAGAAGGATTAGGAGGTAGGGCCTAATAGGAGGTGATTAATCCAGTGTAAGAAGGGATTGTGGGAGTGAGTTTTGTCTTCTGCTTTTGTGCCGTGTGAGAACACCGTTTTCCTCTCTGGAGGAAGCAGTGCCGAGGTGCTATCTTTCATCTGCTTTGGTCTGGATGTGGCTTGTCTCAAAGGCCGGTGTTTTGGAAGTTTAGTCTCCAGGGGGCTGTATCAAAGTGGGGGAAACTTTAAGAGAGAGGGGCTCTGAAGGCAGTCCCACTAGGGGCCAATCGTGGGGTCATCACTCTTGGGAGGAGTTAATAAAATCCTCACAGTGCTGGTTTAGCTCCCGCAGTAATGGCTTGTTACAAAGCAGTGAGCCTGGTCTTCTCTGCTCTCTTGCTTCTTGTTCATCCATCACATGATCTCTCCTGTACATACTACCATTGTGTGATGCCAGCTGCCCACCCTGAGACCGTGCTAAAGCTGAGCAGAGGTGGGCACCGTGCTCTTATACCTGCGGAATGGTGTGCTAAATGAGCATCTCTTCTTTGTGGAGTACTGAGCCTCAGGTTTTTTGCCATGGCAACACAAAATAGACTAGGGCAGAACCAGAGATGGGATCTGTCAGTGCTTTTATTTTGGACTTCCCAGCCTCCAGAACAGTGAGAAATAAATTGCTATAATTTATAAATTACCCAGGCTATGGTATTTTGTTTTATCAACTCAAAACAGACTAAGCAAATCCTCTCTCCTTTCCAAGCCTGACTTGATGAGGAAAAATCAAGAGTATGTTTTAAGGGATAGATCCATAATTACCCGTAATAGCTTGCATCATCTCCATCTATTTCACCTTTGCAGGGCAGTGTATTATTCTCCCAGGACTTCAGTAATAAAGTACCACAAACTTGGTGAGTTAACACAGAAATTCATACTCTCATTCTGGAGGCTGCCAGTCTGAAATTAGGGTGTCTGCAGAGCCACGCTGTCTCCCTGAAGGCTTTACGGGAGTGTCTCCTAGTTTCTTTCTAGGTCTTGCTAGTTGCCAGCAATCCTCAGCATTCCTTGGCTTATAGACTTACCGCCTCGCCCCTTGCCTCTGTCTTCACCAGCATTCTTCCCATGTGTCTCTGAGTTCAAATTTCCTCTTTTTTACAAGGACCCTAGTGTAGTTGTGTTGGCTTAGGTGACCACCTACTCCACTGTCACCTCTTAACTTGTTTACACCTGCAAAGACCCTCTCTCCAGACAAGGTCACAGTTACAATGACTAGAAGTTAAGACTTGAATATATCTTTTTGGGAGATTTAATTCAATCCACAATAAGCAAATCAATTAAAGGACTAACAGTACTGAATGAATGTCACCTTCAACTGGAAGATTTTAATGTATTTTGTTGGCAGCACAAAAGAGAAGAGCCTAAGGGCAGATCTAGAAAGCTGGGATTTATAAGGGGAGAAAGGAGAATGACAAAAGAATCAGGGTTAAATTTTCTGAGGAAACGTACTTCTGGATTTCCAGGGAAATCACATGGAAAAAAATAAGACTTCTTAATTGAGCACTTCCAACATGGCAGCCACTGGAAGAAAAACTGCATACATTATTTCAATATTTCTCCTAATCTTACAAGAGAGGAAGTAGCTCCATTTTCAAGACAAGGAACTTAGAACTTAGGAAAATGAAGTCAATTGCTTAAAGGTTACCTAGTAAATAAAGGGCAGAACATGCAATAAAACTCACCCTTCTACAAAGTCCACTCTCTATTTGTGAAAGTAATCCTGTATAAAGTCAGCAAATAATTACAGATGCCTGCTATATGCCAGGTACCTGATCAAAGGGTGTGTCAGGCCAGAGCGGCCAACTTCAACAGTGGTAATCCTGGTTTACATTTCCACTCATAGGGTGTAAAACTGCCTGATGGCCCAGACCATCCCCAACATTGAATACCCGATCTGGGATTCTTCAAAATCAGATGCCTAGGAGTGGCATCTTGTTTTAACCCATGTGTTTTCAATGATTAGTGAAGTTAAGCATCTCTTTAAGTGGTTATCTTTCCATTTTTATTCCCTTTTCTCTGAATTGCCTTGTCATATATTTTGTCCAGTTTTCTGTTGGGTGCTTCATCTTTTTATAGATTTGTTGACGTTTTACATGTATGATAGATATTAGCAGTGTCATTTTCTATGTTATAAAGGTTTCCTCCCATTAAGTTGGTTTTCATTTGACTTTCTTATAATTTACTCAAAGAAGTGTTCCCCACAGAATGATAATACGAATGCCCTCTTGTTGTTGTCTTGTATTTATATCTTCATAAAAGTATAATGAATTTTTTTCTCATGTGGATAAAGATCTCATCTATTAATTAGTTCATCCTTATTGTATCTTGAATCACAGTTTATATATGAATCTTTTACTATACCATCATTTCTTTCATTAGCTTATTTCCTTTTTATTTATTTAATTTAATTAATTAATTTATTTATTTATTTATTGGTACCGGGGATCAAACTCAGGACCTTGCGCCTGCAAGGCAGGTGGTGGGAACCACTAAGCTAAATCCCTGGCCGAGCTTATTTCTTTTTTAATATCAAGCTTTTGAATATAACTTGATCAAATAGTTGATATTTGTTATAATATTTTCCCCTTGAAGATTTCATTTTTTTCAAAACCTCTTTTTTTATATATTTTCCCTTTCTAAAAACTAACGGAATCTGGGTTGGGTAGGGTAGCTCAGTAGTACATGTTTCATATGTGTGAAGCTTTAGGTTCAATACCAGCACCACCCACACACACATGAGCACAGAGAGAGAGAGAGCGCGAGAGAGAGAGAGAGAGAGGGAGAGATTCATTCCACTGGAATATTTTTGAGGGCAAATAACATTAAATTTATAGAACTGTTTTCTATCCATTTATATGTCTTTAAAATGTTTGACACATAGCTCTTATATTTTTCCTATTAGACTTTTGCCAAAGTTTCATAATGTATATTGCTATTGTGGGCAATATCAGAATACTTTTTCAGATCTTAACTACTAATTCTTGCAAAAAAAAAAAGAAACCAAGATATAAAAAGTCACTTCCCATGTCTTGATTTTTTTTCTTCATCAGACTCTTGGATTTTACAAACATCTCTCATTTGTACTGTGTCTCCCTAAATGTTCTCTCTCTTCTAATAAGCTAGCTCCATCTGCCTTGGCATTCTGGATTTATTTATTTGGTGCTAGGAATGAAACCCAGTACCTCTGCATATTAAACATGTGCTCTACCACTGAGCTAGCTACCCCCTTAGCCTCTTTTCTGTTGTCTTTTATACAGTACTTAAACTTTATTTTTTAGAGCAGTATTTGGTTCACAGCAAAACTGAGCAGAAAGTATGGTTTCCACAACCCTCTGCCCCTACACATGTACATTCCCCCAAGCTGCCAACGTGCCCCACCTGGGCGGCCGTTCCTTGCACCTGACAACCAGTCATCACCCCACAGGGCTGCAGCCAGCCCTGGACCCCTCAGTCTGAGGGTGGCTCCATAGGGAAGGTGCATCTCAGTGCCTAGCGCTCTCTGGGCAGTGTCCCAACTGAGAGCAGTGAGCTCCCCTCCAAAGTGACAAACTCACATGCTGTCAAGCTGGTGTGTGCTGTTGCTGAACGGGCAAGTAGCCACAGCTCGGAGCCTGCTGTCCTCACAGCTCAGAACTGGCCCCCGAGGCCCAGGGCCCTGGGAGAGCCCGGTGGAAGTCATGTTGTCTTTCATGGCCTACGTCAGCTGTCCTTTGTTGATTGAGGCACTCACAAAGGCCCCAGCAGGCTCAAGGAAGAGACATAGGTGTCACTGTTTTATAGGGAATTTGGTTTCTGAAAGGGCACATGAGGTAAAAGTATTTGTCACAGGCCTCTTTAGAAAATGCAATCTGTATATTAATAAAGACAATCAGATTAATTAATGGAACTATCTTTCTTGAAACACTTTGGGAGAAGCTCATGCTCATGCTACATATACATAGATGTATAGAAAGCATGTACCCATTTATGTGTATAGGTACATTTATGTAAATGTATATAAATAAAATATAGGAGTACTGTAAATGTCAAGGGATCATGACAAGGGAAGTCCTGTATTCGGAGTGGTCCTTGATAACCCTCTTATGGATTGAATTGTTTCCCCAAAATCCATAAATCAAAGCCCTAACCCCAGTGTGACTACATTTGGAGATAGGACCTTTCATGAGGCCCTAACTAAGGCTAAATGAGCTCATAAGAGTGGGGACCTACCCAGTAGGACAGGGTGTCTATAAGAAGAGAGAGAGAGAGATACCAAAGCACCCCGCCCCCCGCCGCCATGTGAATGCCCAGTGAGAAGTCAGCTGTCTGCCTGCCAAGACGAACAGCCTCACCAGAACCCAATTTTTCTAGCACCTTAATCTTGGACTTCATTTCATGATAAAATCAGATCTGTTCTTTAATCTACCCATCCTGTACAATTTTGTTATGGCAGCCTAAGCAGATAAGACAAACACCATTAGGCTTTGAATGTCACTGTTAGACAAATACCTATGGTATTAAGGCCAATTTTGTCTGTTTGTTTTCTAGAACTTTTTACTGCCATAGTGGTGAATGGAACACGCCAGCCATGTAAAGAGGCCCACAGGGCAGAAAACCTTGCTGTTTTACTTTTCCTGTGATCTGCTGACTACATGCAGGCAGAACAGGAGACAGATTTTCCGACAGTGATCAAGGAACCTGAGCATCTTGGAGGAGGCATGGAGTCAATGGAAGGCTTGGATTCCACAAATCCTTATGTAGATGGGCAGAGTCCAAATGGTCAGGACCTGCACTTATGCATGGGGTCGGTGCATAAGAGGTGCGAATCACAATCCTGGTCTGCTGCTGGGGCCCAGCTCTTATGAACACCTATATGAACAGGGGTACAGCCAAGGTTAGACCATCCTGTGATAGTTCAGAAAGTCACCTGTCCCTGTGATGGCAGCCAGGACACATGGAAACCATCAGTTAGTCGAAGTATTTACTAAGCACCCTCTGGGTACAAAGCTAGTGAGGAACAAAACCACATCTGAAAAGGAGAAGGCATGGGGAATACCCTGGTGTTAGGAAACAGTCACCTGCTGATTGACTCATCTTGCTGTGAGTAGAAAGCTTTCCCCTAAGGAAGGGCAAGATGTGCCTCTAGGAAAATTGTCCAGGACAGGACAAAAGTCTCTCTTTCAATACCACACATGCTGTCAGAGGTAACTTTAGGCTTAATAACCACCGGGGAAAAGAATCTATCTCAAGATGATAAAGGGAGGTAGATGCAGGTTGTAGGAGGCTAGAAGTAGGAGGAGATGGAAAGGAAGATTCTCTCTCAATCTCTCTGTCTCTGTCTCTCTGTCTCTCTCTCTCTCTGTCTCTCTGTCTCTCTCTCTCTCTCTCTCTCTCTCTCTCTCACACACACACACACACACACACACACACACTAGGATAGTGCTCTAGCACTCCACACTCCCAGCCCATATCCCATTTGTAAGCAAGTCTCTTTATGTGGCTTGACTGATTAAATCATTGGCCATTGATAATTAACTCAATCTGCAGCCCCCTTCCCCTTCCTGAAGATTGGTGGGTAAGGCTGGAAATCCCAACCTTCTCATCTTGCCTCAGTCTTTCTGGCTCCCATCCTGAATCCTCAGCCACCATAGACAAATGACCCTGGAGATTCCAAGGGTCTTAGAAGTTCTTGTGTTGGGATCAGGAAACTAAGACTACACATTGTACCAAAAAGACACTCTGATCACCCCAATCACTCAGACATAAGAGCTTTGGGAGTGCTATGGCAGGGACTGGAAACAGAGACCAAGTGGCTATTTCTTGCCATGTCATATAGAAGATGCAGAAAATCTGATGTTGTGACTGTTGTTGGTTATAAAATCTTAGGAAACTTCCCTCTCCTCAATTGCCTCATAATTAAATAAGAAGATCATGCCTCCCCTCTCCCTCTACTCCTAATTTCCTGACATATGCCAGAAACAGTAGAGATTAAGACACAACCTTGACCCCCAGGAGCTAAGGTCTTAGGATGTTGGAGATAAGTATCATCTTTGTTCCCTTCTAACACTAAAATCTGTGGAAAAGTATAGCATGTCTCCTGATTAAATCAAAGTTTTTTGGGGGGTGTTTTTTTTCTTTACTTGAACCCAGGGCTTCACACATGGGAGATGAGATGAGTGCTCAGCCACTGAGCTACACCCTCAACCCTCTATTTCAGTTTTAATTAGCATGAATTTATATCAACCATTGCATAAGTTGGACGAAACACCACTGTTGTTCTTTGACATCCTAAACTAGGAATGTTACCAAAACTCTCTCTTAATGCTTATTGGACTTCCAAGTCAATCCTGAGTCTTGTGGATATGAAACTCATTCGAAGGGTAAAGATCATGCATCGAAGCAACAGGATTACAAATAAACACCACCGCTGAATCAGAATTGGAAAGAAGTCTCATCTAAAATATGAAAAATGGATGCTATAGAATTTTTAAAATTTTATGTTTCTGATTAAATGTGATCTAAGGATGGCTATTACAATCCGTGAAAAGCTGCTGTCTTTTTAAAATTCCTGAAAAAATTTCTCACATAAAGAGAATTCATGGAGTATAAAAAGCAGTGAGAATAAGTCGAAAGAAAAAGCTCTAAGCATTTGCTCGCAACTGCATTCATTCCACTGCACTATGCCAGGAATTCCATTTATAAAAGCAGCATGTATATGAACTTCTTTAGAATCCAGTATAAACTTTCGATTGTATTTAGAAAAAAGGGGGGAGGAGGGAAAACCATGAAATCAGAAAATGGAAAGAAAATTCAAAGCGAATGGAAACTCTTGCTCAGTTAAAAATTTCACACCTCCCTAATTGCCTTTCCCTGCTGCTTGATTCAAAGCTTTAAGGCAAGTAAACACTAGAAAGTAGTACTTCCTGCAAAAGCCTTCCTGGGTTAGGCTGGATCAAAACAGAGGTCTTAATTCACACTGCTGAGAATTCAGAGTCTTCTGTTTCCAGCCCCTCAGAAGGAGAACTGTGCATTTTACTTCTTTGAACACACCCAGAATGCATTGCAGAGATACCCAGTCAACGCTTGCTGAATCGAATCTTGATGAGAAACAGAATGCTGTTCTTCTATTAGTTCAGTTTTATGAGAGTAGCTTAAAAATCAATCCATTTAGACCATGACATTCAAGGTCAGGAATGTCCTTTCTTCCTCACTCTATAGTCCTGGAAGCCTTTTTCAGCTTATGGTATTCAGTACTCTTCCCTGGGTAAAATCTAGAGACCAGCCACCAGAATCACTATAAAAATAAAACAACAGAATCGAGATCTCCTACAAAAACCTTTTAAAAGTTGTCTTAAGAGATGACTTCTTGGGCCCAGGGATTTAGCTCAGTGGCTCTGGCGCCTGCCTTGCAAGCACAATGGACCCGAGTTCGATCCCCGGTACCAAAAAAAAAAAGAGAGATGACTTCTTTAATGTTCTCTTCAAGTCCAGTCAAGCTCTTTGTGAAAATTAGTGGGCAGTTTCATTTTTGCTGAAGTTCAAAAAAGACAAGAGACTTAATTTAAATTTTTAGTGAGCATTTTATTTACTCCCTCTTCATTCAGTAAACATTTATGAGCACCTACTGCATACCAGGTACTGTGATAATTACTGTTATGCTGATTTGGGGGCTCAGGACACATACATCACCCCAAGACATGGCTGAATGAATATGACACCCCAGAAATAAACCTCTTGGGCACATTAATTGTCTCAAGCTAGCAAATCTGAGAAACTTTGGACATAGAAGTAACTGAAACGCTTCCTTTTTTGTAAAAAGAAATTTTGATCTATTAAGGAAGCTTTTATTAGTAAAGATAGCTATCAGGAAGAGAGCTGTCCCCAAGTGATTTTTATCATCCAAGGGACTTTTTGTCCCTGAGCTGCAGGAGAAGTAGTGGCCTCAGGTCAGAGCTAAACTTCTGTAGGACCAGGCCAGCCAGGGGACGCTGAAGAAGGTGGAGGAAATGGGACTGTGGGCTGCAGACTGCGTCTTCCAGCTGAGTTTCTCCGCTCTCATGTTTGGCCATGGCACACAGGGATCTTTCCAAAATGCAGATTCAAGTTCAAGAGGTCCTGGGTGGAGTCTGAGAGTCTGCATTTCTATAAGGTCCTTGGTAAGGCAGGCTGTCACGCTGAGCTGGGACCATTTTCAAGCCCTGAGGTCCTATGTGGAGACTACTGCACACTTGTTTGTGTTGAGATGTGCCATAAATGTACAATACACACTGGAATTTAAGGACTCTGGCCAAAAGGATGTAAAACATTTCATTAATAATTTCTGTATTAATTATGCTGTGGACTGAATGCTTGTATCCTCCTCAAACTCACATGTTGAACTCTGTTTTTTTCATGAGTCCACTGTTGCAGTGTATGATTGCCTTCCCCGTGTGGAGTGGTAATGTGCATCCCACGCCTTCATTCCTGGTTCACCCCCTCCCCTCCTCTCCCTTCTCCCTCCCTCCATTTCTTGATCTCCTCCTTTTCACTTCCCAAGGTTTATTTACTCAACAAAAATATGAAGTGATATTATCCCAAATAGAAAGGGGACTCTAGCCTGTAAAGGTTACACAGTACACTTTTAAAAAGCTGTCAACTACTACAAACATCACAAAATGCAGAAATAAAATCACAATATTTTGATGAATAAACCAAGAACGACTCTAGGAAACTTTCTCTTTTTATGTTCCTCCTATTATTTACCTTTTATTTTACTCTTTATTTATAATTCGGGTTTCTCATGGAAAAGAAGCCATATGATATTTAAGCTCTTGTGTCTGATTTATTTTACTTAACATTATGGTCTCAAAGTGCATCCATTTTCTCATAGATGACTCAAGTTTATCCTTCTTTATGGTGGAGTAGTACTCCAATGTGTATAAATACCACACTCTTTTTATCCCCTCATACATTTAGTATGTTGACCTCTCAACCCCCAAGGTGACAGTATCAAGAGATAGGGCCTTTGAGGGATAATTGGGCCATGAGAGCGGAGGGCTCATGAACATGAAATACTGTCCGACCTCAGCGGCACCCTGAACCCACAGTTCCAGCCTCCAGAATGGGGAGAAAGAGCTGCTTATTGGTTAAGCCCCAGGCCACGGTGCTTTGTTCCAGCAGCCTGAGCCAAGGCAGAGTATACATTGCAATGATAGGATTTCAGATATATTGCAGTAAAGCCTATTAGAACAAATTTTTATGTTTCGTTTTAAAAATTAATTTCATTGGTACATTTTAGATATACGTAATGATCACATTCATCATAGGGAGTCTGTACCTGTACATGGTGTATCTTGATTCCTCTTTTTTCCCATTCCCCTCCCCTCCCTTCAACCTCTCTTCCTCTCCCCATTTACAAAAGCTTTGTTTCCATGTTTTCCTTCTTTTTTCATTACCCTCCTCCCTAGTTCCCCTTTCCTTTTGAAACTTTTCTACCT